CCTTTTCCATTTTTTTGTTATCTCTGCTCAGAAGCATCCCCAGTTCTAGAATGCTGTTTTACCACTGACAGATTTTTGCCACCCTTTCCCCCATCAATGTGATAAACCTGCCATTTAGAGTCCTATGTTCAGAAGAATTTGCCTTCATGATTTTACTGTATATGGATCAAAGATAAGCCAGAAAGGAATGAGGAACTGCTGGATCTTCTCACTAGAAATGAGCTGAGGCACTCTAAATGGAAAAGACCCTCTCATGTAGCAGGGATCCAAGCGGGGTCGTGGATAATGAAAATTAATTAACTCAGTTGGTATGGATTTAGAAATTTGAAAAGTATTTCCAATTGTAGACATCTTGTTTAAACAAAGAGAGTCATGCAAACAGCAGCATAATTAATGATGGACATTGACCAAAATGTTCTGGAATTACTAATTGTTTGCATGCCCAATTTCTGATATAGTAGTGATGAGTATTGAGCTTCTGTCCACTGAGATTCAAGTGGTATGAAAGCTTGTGCATCTGAAACACTGCACTGAATAGTATTAAGCTCATTCAAATAGCCCTAGGCTTAACCAAATTTCCTATTTATGGTTGTGACCTGGTATAGTATATATAGATACAAAAACATGGAAGCACACAGTAAACTGAATTTCTTCTTTAAAATAAAAAGTAATAAAAATGTTTTAGTCACAGTTGATGATTCGGAGACTACGTGAAACAAAATATTTTTCTCCCCAAATCATAAACTTATGTTATTCCATATTTCTTCCAATTTAAAAACTTAAACAAAAGAAAATTCAGAAGCCCAGTAATACACAAAATTAGAGATGCCTAGCTTTAACTGAAAATGCTGTATATGCTGATTGAATTTAATCATTTTTGCTCATATTTACACAACTTTCTTTTTTCATTACAGATAAAACAGGAAAAGTTACATCGGCAACATTTTTTGACATGTGGGAAGGAGGTAGTGAAGAGTGCCATAGAGCTTTTGTTACCGTTTCAGCATTAAGAAATAACTTATATAATTATCCTGCTCTTTCAAATTACTGTGATTGTATTATCAACAGGAATCAGCTAGAAACAAACAGCTGTTGTCTTCATAAAATATTCTCCGGGCAGATCCAATGACAAATTTTGCCTGAAAAGCTGAATTTCTCCCATTGGTTAGATAGTTAATTGTCCTTTTTTTTTTTTTTTTTTAAATTGTCTTGCTTTTTTTTTTTAATTGTCCAATTGCCATTTTTTAATTGTCTTTTTTTTTCTCCGTTATTTCAGTCTGATAGGAATAGCACTTAACCAAGTACCACATCCAGATATTTCACTCAGCAAAATTCCTCTCCCTGACATATTTTGTTCTATTTTAGCTGTAAAATCATCATAGGAAATATGCTGGTCTGCCTCTTAACATCCTTCCATGTAGCTAGAAAGATGATCTACTTTAAGAATAGCTTTTAACACCTTTTCCAAACTGAGGGATAGCAGTTTCCTTACCTATTAGTAAGGAGAAATAGAATGCTATGAGGCACTGGAAGGTGATTCTCTGACCACTTAAGAACGCTTGTGACCTTACCTGCATGAATAGAAATCACATTGGGACTAATCGTGGGGCTACAATTTTATATGCGGTATGTAGACTGTAGTATCTCCAGGGTGCCTGTTACATTTTTTTTTTCCCTATGGAAAACAAGTGTCTTGTGTATGTTTAGCAATTGCAAACTAATAAATAGCTTAGTGCTGCAAATAGGCTGCCACTTAATGAAAGGGGGTGTACAACAGGGTGTATAACTCAGCTCTGCAGTTAGCATGGTAGTAGGAAGCTCACAGAATAGCAGTGACTTCTCCTGGGCTATTCCATGCTTTGCTTGCATGTATAATATTATGTGAGGTAAACATAAGAAACCATCTATATACTTACCCTGGGCATAAATGGCTTTTGTAGAAGGTCAGAAGTATCTTTGTTTACTACCGGGAAATGCAGATCCATCCATGCTCCCCTAGCCTTTGGTGAGAGTTAGCAGCTTCCTGCACCTTTCAGGATTAGGCCCTCTGCCTGTAAACAGGAAAATTACCTAACTAGGTCTCATTCTGAATAAACAAGGCCAGAGAGTGAAAACAAGCTGAAAGTAGGTGGAATGTGTGTAATGAATAATCAGTTGTGTAATTGATTCAACAGACCACTCAGGAGAGATGATGACTTTCATTGAAAATGCACCAGAAGGGTCCCTCCTTTTGATGGTGACTCATGATGATGGAAGCACCCGGTAAGCAAGTTATTCATGACAGGTTGAGGAACAGAGCAATTAATAGCTTGAAAATCACTATTTCATGACAGTGTAAAGGAATGGTAAATTTCACTCTATAGTCAAGGTTTTTCTCTCATTTCCTGCCTAAAAGCTTTTGATTCCATGTCCATTCAGTGCTTGCCCCTATCATGTATGTTGATACTTCCAAAGATGCACAGATAGTGTTGTATTTGTTTAAAAGCACCAGTTGTCCTCATAAAGGACATTGCTGTTACCTCTGGGTCACAACCTTCTATTAAGAAGGTATCCACATCTCCCATTGTAATGTATCTAGTTTGCATTCCTTCCTACATCTTAACCTGATTCTTCAACTGCTTTCAAATCTTTGGGTTTTTTTAGTTGAATTCATGATATGGCAATTATACAGGGAAGGACTTAATCAATTTGTTGATAAGCATTCGGTGCCCTTGTTCTTATTTAAGAAACATCAAATAGTATTTGAGAAACATTTTTCTTTCTGCTGTGCTGTCACAAACGATTATATTAACATCAGGAATGTAGAGAGGAGGAAGAGAAAGAATTTTGCTCTGTGAGTTTAATGGCATGCTACTAAGACAGCTCTCAGGATTTTTTAAACTTCTCACTGTTGCTTCTGCTGACCTACTAATGTAAAACATGCATCAGCTCTGTTCTTTTTCAGCATTTTTCACATCCTGAATTTTTAACACTTTTTTTCACTACATTTTCCTAGGTTGAAGAATGACGCCAAAACATTAGTAGAAAATCTGGGAAGTAAAGAAATATGGAATTTGAAGTTCAGGTCAAGCTGGGCTTTTATAGCTTCCAAAGGCTTCAAGCTGCCAGATAATATCCAAAAAGAAAAGGTCAGGTTAATTTTATTTTCACTTTGTCTGTATACCTGGTATAACCTTCAGGTGCAGATTTCTTGAGTTGGCTATAACTGTAGTCTGTTCAATAAGCGTCAGTCGTACAAAGCAAGTTCTCTAAGGTGTCATCATTCTTTTCTTTGGATCTGGGCCTTGTACAGTACTGACTTCTACCACACCAGCACTTAATCATCTGTAGACAAATTTCAGAAGTGACCAGCGATTCTAGAGAGTGTCAGTTTTGAAACGTACAACCTGACATGTTATACAGAGACTTACATTTTCTTCTGGAAGGATAAATTCCAAGGACCTCCTAAAAATAAAGGCTGTTTTTAGATGAAAATTGGGCTGTCTCAAATTGGCCATGCAAATATAGCAATGTTTGCATCACAAAATTTTTCTGAATAACTTGCCCTCAGGCTTCAGGAGGACTAAAGATACCATTTTTATATCAGATTTCTGTTTGCATCTGTGACCTTGTTGAAATTGTTTTCTATAAGCCCAGTAGTGCTCGTCTATATGACAGAGAGGCAGACAGAAATGAGAAAACCCAACCGGGGGTCACTTCCCTTGATGATACCGACTCCCTCCAAAGGCATGTGAAACTTCTATAGGTTTTTTTTTCCAGAATACTGTTGCAATCTTCTTCACATTATGCAGCTTCTGACCGAAAAAGGTATTCAATTTAGTGTATATTATGACAGCCATCTGGGAAATAAATAAAGCACTTTGTGTAAGAGAGAAACTGATGGAATCTTCTCCCATTATGTCAAGCAAGATGTGCAATGTGCTACTTAGCTTCCCAGTCCTACCACGTTACCCCCTTCTGTTGTATGAGGTTTGACCAACTAGTTTGTAAACGGAGAACCAAATATTGATTTTTTTTTATTTTTTTAAATTTTTTTTTTAAACAGATAAACCACTCTGACAAGAAGAAGAACAGATACAGTGGCTGGCCAGCTGAAATCCAAATAGAAGGCTGTATCCCAAGAAACCTGATCTGAACAATTGCATACCTCATTAATAAAGAGTAAATTGCCTCCAGAACCCAATAAGCACCTGAACACTAACTGTAAAATAAGTCATATGCGCATTTTTTTAACCTTCCTTTCCTCTGTGAGGTTTTACTCTAATCTGAAAACAAATAGGTATTTTGATGACAAGTGGCAATAAAATACTCTGTTTTGGAATTACAATATTCAGGAAGTGAGTCATAAAATACCAGGATTTTTGAAAGTGAGTATATATTGTTATTAGTAATTCATGCAGGTTGGTTTTGTTTGTTTATTTGGGTTTTTTTCGTTCCTTTTAAAGACTAATATGCAAACAGAACTTAGTCTAAATTGTAATATAAAATCACTAGCAATAAAGCAAATTATTTTCATGTTCGTTAATTAGTAACATTGCTTCTCTTCAGAAAAAGTTTGGAAATAGCTGTTACATTTGTTGAGCTGGTTTTAGTGATGTTGACAACGTGGAATAACAATGTTAACATGTAAAGATCAAGTTAACTTGAATTATTTTACCAAATTAAGTTGCAAATCTACACTGTTTGTTTTAAATATTTTTTCTTCCTGTAAGTTTAACTTACTTGAAAAAATGTAGTGACTTTATGCAAGCTTAAATGTTATTCGTACTACCTGTAGTATCAAACACATGGTTGTAAGGAAACTGTAGAAGCCATTTATTCAATTTCCCTTTTTCTGAAGCACATCAAGTATGTCTGGACCTTTCTTAGTTGGTGTTTGTTCCCATGTTGTTCCGAAGCCTCCCCTATGAGAGATTCCACAGCTTAAGTTGCTTCCTGTAGCATTTCACTGTTATCCTAGTTATTCCCCAAACATACTGAGTTAACCTAAAAGGACCAAGCCAATCACACAGAGAAGAACTCATTACCACTCTTTTTGTCCCAGTCTATTATGTATCTGAAGACTGTCCTCATCAACTCTCTCATCCCTAGAGGTATATTTTAATCTTTCTTTACATTTTTCTCAACATTAAAATGTTCATTTAGCAGCAACTGTCTTAACCTAGCCGTGCTTCAAATGGGTCACAGCACTCTATGCAGCTACTTACGAGCGTCCCGCACTCTAGACTTTGGGCAGGAGAAAATCAGAAGTGGTGACCTGAGAGGGTGGCTGCCAACAGCCAGATTCAGTCTGCTCTTCTCCCCATGTTGCCTGGCTGAAGCTCTCTCAGTGGTGCTCCAAATCTCTACCCTTGTCACAGCTGCCACTACCTACTTGTAGTCCCTGCTGTGTTCCCAGCAGCTTTCTGGTATCATGTCCCCCACCAGTCCCTAAAGCTACATTTCCTGCTACCAGTTTGTGAACTTCTCCATTGCTCAGGGACGCTGACAAAGAAAGCAGTTAAATTAGTTTGAATCAGTTTGACTTTGGTAGACTCCCAACGGTTGCTCCTTATCACCTTGCTACTGATGAGGTGGTTACAAATCAAGTACTCGAACAGCTGTTTCAATATTTTTCCACATCTAAGTCATTCTTCTTTTATTCTTTTTGCTTGTCCATCCTACAAGTGGTGTAGGTCAGGGTCCTCATTTTGGTATTTTACACGTCTAGTAGTAAAAGCATGTGAACTGTTGTTACACATGCTGAACTTGGTCTCATTCTTGAAACCTAGGGATTTGGATGGAAGACCTAAGGTTTGCTAGCAGTTGCAGGCTACTTCACAGTTAAGAAAACTCCTCTGCATCTGCTGCTATTCCTTACCCATGTGTTTTGGCAAGAGAGGAGAGCTACCATAGACGTCTAGCTTCTGTGTGAGTCTATGGTGGGACAGAGCTTCTGTGAAGATACATCAGTGCTTATTCCTTGGGAAGTTTGAGGCAGTTTGGGTTTCAGGTGCCTTGTATGTGCTTCATAGGGATGTTCTAGCATTGCAGCGAAATCAAACCTCTCCTGTGCTTCGGGTAAAGTGACCTAACCAACTGTAGATTAGCAGTCTTGTCATCCAGATCAATGCCAAGACGTATGACTTATGTATGTTTATTTTCTTAAGTGTACAGCTTCATGTCACCAATAATTTATTCAGGCATTTATTCCTTCACATTGTAATCACCCTTTGTTACATGTTTGAATTATAAAAATAACATAATTACAGTACTAACAGTTGGCAGTCGTCAGAGTGCCAATCTGTGAGAGTCCTTGAACTCAGTGCACTCTGACAGTCATTGCCTTCTACTTCAGGCCACAATTAATCTTACATCATTTACAATTAAATTTTACATCCATTTCTGTTTAGCAGTTACCATGAAGTGTGCAAGTACTCCAAGTACTCCATTCTCCGCAAGTACTCCATTCTTGACATTCTTTACATTTGCTCTGTTCTTCACACTGTGTGCAAGTACTCCGTTCTTCACAAATGGTCAACAGTAAAAGTTGCATACCCATAATCTGAACCACAGATCAAACCGTCAAGGACCTTTCACATCACAAGTCTCTGCAAAATGTTAACTCCATCATGTTTTCACTTTTTCAGAGATGCAGCTGAGTCTAGACAAGAGTGTTAATGTCTGCAGTGTTGAGTAGCTATAGAATCATAGAATCATAGAATGTTTTGGGTTGGAAGGGACCCCTAGAGGTCATCTAGTCCAACCCCCCTGCAGTGAGCAGGGACACCGCTAACTAGATCAGGTTGCTCAGAGCCCCGTCCAACCTGGCCTTGAATGCTTCCAGGGATGGGGCCTCCACCACCTCTCTGGGCAACCTGTTGCAGTGTTTCACCACCCTCATTGTAAAGAATTTCTTCCTTATATCCAGTCTAAACCTACCCTGCTTCAGCTTAAAGCCATTACCCCTTGTCTTGTCACAGCTGGCCCTACTAAAAAGATTTTCCCCATCTTTCCTATAGGCCCCCTTTAGGTATTGAAAGGCCGTAATCAGGTCTCCCCGCAGCCTTCTCTTCTCCAGGCTGAACAACCCCAACTCCCTCAGCCTGTCCTCATAGGAGAGGTGCTCCAGCCCCCGGATCATTTTTGTGGCCCTCCTCTGGACCCACTCCAACACTTCCATGTCCTTTTTGTGCTGAGGGCTCCAGAGCTGGATGCAGTACTCCAGGTGAGGTCTCACCAGAGCAGAGTAGAGGGGCAGAATCACCTCCCTCGACCTGCTGGCCATGCTTCTCCCGATGCAGCCCAGAGTACGGTTGGCCTTCTTGGCTGCCAGCGCACATTGCCGGCTCATGTCCAGCTTTTCATCCACCAGCACCCTCAAGTCCCTCTCAGCAGGGCTGCTCTC